ATTTAACAGCACATTAAGGTGGCTGAACTACTCCACTGAATTGTTTACCGTTGATTGCTCACGTACTGGCTGGGTGAGGAATCGGTTGTGCTTCATCACATAAAAACGACAACCGCTTTCAAGAATAGCTTGAAAGTAGAAGGCTGTTGTTAATAACCACTCTCATTCCTCGTGCCAGAGACAGCATCACGGGTGTGTAATCAGGAAAAATATATATCCATAAAACTTAAAGGATAAATGGGTAACAATACAACTAAATTCACTGCTGACGAGCAGTGGCTAGAGAAAAAATGTCCCGGCGCCGGTCAAATTAGTGCAAATAGATGGAGAAATCCAAAAAAATTAAACTGTCCCGCATGGGAAGGTAAATATAATCCGTCTGCAGTGACGACCCTAAAAGAAACCTTACAAACAGAACTAGACAATGAAACATAGTTGGCATGACGACCATGCCCAGAGTGTATAAAATAAGTAAAAGGAAATAATTCATATGAAAACCTTTTAAATAAAATAGAGAGATGTATAAGGTACATTAAGGTGTGAAAAGGTAAATGTCTCCAGCTTGGGAAAGGGTGGAACTGCAGATCACCCGAAGCCCTTGATGGATACGAAATAAAATATAAAATATATAATAATAAACTGCTTGGTTCGACATGCAACAGAGAGAATGAATGTGACTGAAGGTTGGATCTGATATGAGGCAAACAGAAGACCAGTCTAAAAAGTAGGCACAAACCTGTTCAGAGAAAAAGCAAATTTGTACAGATTGGATGAATTCTAAATCATCTGTTTGCTGAGTGAGATGATCCTAACTATTAAATTGGCTCAGTAGTAGTATAGTGGTATACGCTAATAAATATTGTAATATTTTATTGCTGTTATATATAATAAAAAAAAAGATGATACCATTAGTGCTGATATAATATTAATCATAAGTGGCACCTTGGTCAGTTATGATGTGAGGTGGATAATTGTTATGAAGTAGTCTGCACCAAGCTTGAGGTTGCTCAAACTCAGTATAATGACATATGAGAAACTATCTAAACTAATTAAGTGCATAAAGGCACTTGATCTGCTTGATAACCTGTCATTTATCCTAGATAAAATATTACTGAGATATAGAGCACGTCTATAATAAAAACTCATAAGCCAAACCCCTGTAGACAACGACTAAAGCTACAGGATTGTGAAGCTGAATTAGATATGTGGACACTGCTAAGTTGATGAGCATGTTACACATTTTCTTTTATTTTTATTTATTTGTTTTTAGAACAGAAGCTGAGTGTGTGACGATTGAATAAAAAGTGTGTTTGGTTTTATATTTTTAAAAAAAAAAAAGATGAGATACTGCAGTACTGAGTCTGTGGCACAGTTTGAGAAGTGCATGAGAGCCGCGGCCACGCGCTCTGTGTTGGTGAGAGAAAGAAAAGGTGGGGGCT